ATCATAACTTTGATATATTTTTTATAACTTTTTAATAAATATATTATCTAAATAAAACATATCCATTCATGGGACGTGTCCGATCTAGGATGTGATTTTTTATTGCCAATCAACCTCTTCTTATTTGGATTGTTTATAATCTTGCATTTCCTTTCTTTTTTAATGTCATATACCAGTTGCAATTTATTATCGATAAACATGTTTTTAGGGGAGTGAGAAATGACCAAAAACACAATAGCAACATAATATATAAAATATTATAAATATCAATAATACAATAGAATACTTTAATTAAAGTTCTAAAGAATTTACACATGAGATTGACAAACTATAATTTAATAGTATAATTTAGGGTTACTTTTAATTTCTTAATTGGTTTTTTAAGAGAAATCACACAAATAATCCAAACCTATTTTTATAAGTAGATATTTCATCTAAGATTTTTATGTGAAAATATGTTTTTTTTTGTATAAATATGAGTTTATAAAGAATAAACATATTATAAACAAATTCTTGAGAAAAAAAAGTTGTAAAAAAACTAAAGTTAGGATGAATTCATAATAAAATTCTAAAATTTGGGCAAAAAAGGTAAAATTTAGACCAAATTTGTAACAAAATTCAAAATCTGGGCCAAAAGTGTAAATTTTGGACCAAATTTGTAATAAATTTTAAATTTTGGGCAAAAAATGTAATTTTTGAAAGTTGGATGACCTGCTGACCTGGTCAAAGGGTTAAATTGAATACGATTACCGATATTTGGGACTTAATTGAATAAAAAAAATATAAGGACTAAATCGATTATGAGGCAAATATGTAAGGACTTTATTGTAGTTTTCCCTAAAATTAAACTTTATTTATTTATTTATGTTATACAAAGGTATGTAATTATAGTTAAGCAAATTAAACTAATACTAGAACATGTTGGAAGGATGTTACATAATCATTTCTAGAAACTTGATTTTGCAACTCCAAAATTCATTTGAATAAAGTAATTAATAATAAAGTTACCTAAAATTTGCTAATTATAACAATTACAATAACATATTGTAATAATTTGCACGTCATTTTTCAGCAACAAAGCCAATGATGATTTACGCTTTCAAATATGATCCAACAACAATGCTAAACATAATCTACTTGTACGTATTCTTGCTTGCTGATGCTGCCATGCACCTAACCTAGTGACATATATACAAGTGTGAAATTATACAGAATTGATGTCCATGTGTCCCGATATTAATCTTCAACGACATATTGGAGTTGACTTGAAATAAACATATAAATAATTGTTTCATCACTATGTGCAGACAAGTAATCTGGTGACTTCCTTCTTGATGACGTTCGCAATTTTCTTAGAAAAGAAAAATACATGCTAATCACTACTTTGAACAACATCATCTTTGGAACAAATCATGCCATCCACCTTACTTCTTCCATGATGTACATATATATATGTACATGCATCGGTTATCCTTATTTTGTAACCAGATCTTTCCGAGAATTTAGTGTTATTGTGGCAATGTCGACGGAGATGGTTAAAGATGGCGTACAAAAAGAGAGACAGATTTCAATAGATCCGATTTCTATGAAAGAAATTATTGAATATCCAAGTTCGGGTTTACCAAATTCTCAAATCACCAAAAAACAAGTGCATTCGATGCCGAAAAAGAACAAGTTTCTTAGCACAAGTCTCCCGAATTCGGCTTGTTCATCACCTCGTGGGGTTCAACCAAAAACAAAAGGCAAGGACCATGATCAAGCTCTAGAAAGAGCTTCAACCAAGGGCACTTCTTTATCCCATCAACACTCTTTAGCTCTTTCTCGTCTTGTTTGGCTTCAAGAAAACCACTTACAAAGAAGCAAGTCTTGTGGTGGAGGGAGACCATCTGTACAATACGATGAGTTTGACCTGACTAACATCAAAACTAGCACCATGAGTGCTAGTGCTGATAGTACGCCCAGAGGTCAAACAACACAAGATGGTGACTACACAAGAATCATAGAGGCAAATAAACGTAACGAGGAGGATTTCAAATGCGGAGCTCTCTGCTTGTTCTTGCCAGGTTTCGGTAAGGGTAAACCGGTCATGAGAAGTAGAAGAGAGGACCGAGAAGAAACTAGACACGTGATATCCCGGAGGGTGTCTCTTGAAAAATTCGAATGTGGATCATGGAGGTCATCAGCGTTTTTTAATGATGATGGAGGGAGCGGTTTTTCCTCAAACCTTTACTTTGATTTGCCTCTAGAGCTGATACAAACGAGCAATGACGCTACTTTGCCGGTGAGTTCGGCCTTTTTGTTTGATAAGGATGTGAAAGGAGTTCTTAAGACGAAAGGTGGTGGAGAAAGGAAGTCAAATGATTCCCGTCGTCACGTACGCTTTTCAACATCTTCGCCTTCGGCGTCACCATCTTCGTGCATCACACCTCGTATGCGCAAGGCTCGGGAGGACTTCAATTCATTTTTAGAAGCTCAGAATGCATAAAACTAAATAATAAATGGTATCTAGCTACCACATAAAGTATAAGTTATAAGAATGTTTAATATATTGTTAATTTTGGGTCATGAGTTCGGGCCATTTATTTAAGAGTGCTTCTTGGTGAATACATATGCTTTACATATTGAAATTTGGAAGGTGTAATAACATATACGTGATAAAATTGAGTTTTTTGTTTTTTTAGTAGAGTTTATTGAAAAAACCTTTGTAAAACTTCCTTTTGGAAAGATAAAGATGTTTGAATGCGCATTGCATTACGAAGAAATAGAAAGGGAGCGGTTTTTCCTCAAACCTTTACTTTGATTTGCCTCTAGAGCTGATACAAACGAGCAATGACGTTACTTTTATTGGATTAGGTGTCTAAGCCCATAACTATTATTGGTATGTATTCGACCCGAGAGTAGCATGGTCCA